TATTCTCACTTATTTGTGGGGCCTAAAAATCAAAACCATTGAATTCATGGAGTTAGAGACTAGAAGGGTGGTTACCAAAGGCTGGGAGGGTAGTAGGGTAGAGGGTAGCTGTGGATGGTTAATGGGTACCAAAAGAGTTGAAAGAATGAGTAAGACCTAGTATTTGATAGCACAAGAGGGGGACTATAGTCAATAATAATTGTACATTTTAAAATAACTAAAATGGGCTGGGCACAGTGACTCACACCTATAATCCCAGCACTCTGGGAGGCCAAGGTAGGTGGATTGCTTGAGGTCAGGAGTTTGAGACCAGCCTGGCCAAGATGGTGAAACCCCCCTCTCTACTAAAAATACAGTGCACTCCAGCCTGGGAGACACAGCAAGACCCTGTCTCAAAAAAAAAAAAGGAAGGAAAAAAGAGTCATGTTGATAAAAGTCAAAATGGTGTTCACCTTTCCATGGATGGGGGTTGGGGCAGGGAAATGGTGGTGTATGGAGTGGATATTGTATTGACCGCAGAGGAACATAAGGAAAGTTTCTAGCATGCTGGAAATGTTTTCTACCTTGAGCTGGTATTATGTACTAAGTATTTGTGTCTCCTCAAAATTCCTATGTTGAAATCTAATCCCCAGTGTGATTGTATTAGGAAGTGGGCCCTCTAGGAGGAATTAGGTCATAAGGATGGAGCCCTCAGAAATGGGATTAGTGCCCTTATAAGAAGGGACATGAGAGAAATGATCTTTCTCTCTCCTCTGTGAGGCCACAAGAAGACACTAGCTGTAAACCTAGAAGGAGGCCTTCCCCAAGAATCCAACCACTTTGGCATCCTGATCTCAGACTTCCAGTCTTCAGAACTGTGAGAAAGAAACGTTTGTTGTTTCAACCACTCTTTATAGTATAGTTATAGAAGCCTCAGCTGACTAAGACCACAGCGATGTGGTCACCTGGGCACCCACAAATGTAAAAGTTGATTGAGTTGCGCATTTCAGATGAACGCTCTTTTAGCAGTTTACTGTGTGTATGTTAAATTTCAATAAAAAGGTAAAACTTGGCCGGGTGCAGTGGCTCACACATGTAATCCCAGCACTTTGGGAGGCTGAGGCAGATGGATCATCTGAGGTCAGGAGTTTGAGACCAGCCTGATGAACATGGTGAAACCCTGTCTCTACCAAATACAAAAAATTAGCCAGGAGTGGTGGTGTATACCTATAATCCCAGCTACTTGGGAGGCTGAGGCAGGATAATCGCTTGAACCTGGGAGGCAGAGGTTGCACTGAGCTAAGATTGCACCACTGCACTCCAGCCTGGGCAACAAGAGCAAAACTCTGTCTCAAAAAAAAAGGTAAAAATCTAGCCGCTCCACTTTTAGCACTTTACTGTGTGTATGTTAAACTTCAATAAAAAGATAAAAGTCTGGCTGGGCGTGGTGGCTCATACCTGTAATCCCAGTATTTTGGGAGGCCAAGGCGGGTGGATCACCTGAAATAAGGAATTCAAGACCAGCCTGACCAACAGGGTGAAACCCCATTTCTACTAAAAATACAAAAATTAGCCAGGTGTGGTGGTGGGCACCTGTTATCCCAGCTACTCAGGAGGCTGAGGCAGGAGAGCGGCTTGAACCCGCGAGGCAGAGGCTGCAGTGAGCCAAGATGGTACCACTGCATGCCAGCTTGGGTGGCAGAGCAAGATTATCTCAAAAAAAGAAAAGGTAAAAATCTTTCTGCCAATGTGTCCCTTTCCCTGCCCCCAACCACGACTGCCATCACATTGAAGCAGAGGGTCTAGAGAGAGGTGGGATAAAGTGGTAGGCTGAGTGCAGCACAGTTAATACCCAGGGGGCTTCCTGATTCTCTTAATCCATATCCCTCACTTAGCTGAGCCCAGGGCTGTACCACCGCCCTGCCTTTAGGAGCCCCGTAAGGACTTTCCGCAGGCCATCTGCAATGTCTGTCTTCACACTGAGGTTTGCCTTAGCCTCTGTCCCGCCTATGTGGATAATCCCCACCTTAAATCATCCTAGGGCAGGAAAAAGGCAGAGAGGAGGAGGAGGATGCCCTAGGAGAGGAGGTGATGGAGGTGGGAGGGCGCAGAGACTGAAAGCTCAAGAAATTCCTAAGCAAAGACAGTGATTAAATGCGCTCCATTACAGAGCGGGGAGAAGATACGTAAAAGTCTTGAAAGATGTAAAAGGTAAAAATCGGCCAGGCGCAGTGGCTCATGCCTGCAATCCCAGCACTATGGGAGGCAGAGGCGGGTGGATTACCTGAGGTCAGGAGTTGGAGACCAGCCTGGCCAACATGGAGAGACCCCCGTCTCTACTTAAAAAAATACAAAACATTAGCCAGGTGTGGTGGCGGGGCCTGTAATCCCAGCTACTCGGGAGGCTGAGGCAGGAGAACGGCTGGAGCCCAGGAAGTGGAGGTTGCAGTGAGCCAAGATCGTGCCACTGCACTCCAGGCTGGGTGACAAAAGTGAAACTCCATCTCAAAATAAATAAATAAATAAATAAAAATAAAAGATATACTCCAGAATATGGTGGAATTATGGCAGATTTTTATTTTTGCTTGTCTGTATTTTCTAAATGCTTTATAACAATTCTGTATTACTTTTGCAATAAGAAAAATAAAATGTTTTGAGCTTCACAGTACTTAAACTACATGCCCTGGTAAGAAGGGCACAGTACTCAACAGCTCCCAACATACCACATTCCATCTTCATCTTTGGTAACCTGCCCTGGTCTTAGGTGATTTCGGGTCAACCCAATTCACAATCATCTATGACGATCTTAGGTAATGTATCACTTTAAGACTGTGCAAAAGACATTATTTTGCTGGGAGTTCATCATAACACATAACAAATGACTAAAGAGGTAGCCAAGAAAGAAAATATGCCCGGGCACACACATGAGTGGAGTGTGCTGGATTCTCTGCAGCACCGCACAACAGGCAGGCCCTGGGCACAGAGCTGTGGAGGAGGGAGTGGGACATCAGGCTGTCAGGGCCTCGGTTTTTCATGCTGCTCTTCTCTTTCCACACTAGTTTCCAAGAAAGGCTCTGTAGACGACTCTTTCTTTCTTTTTTTTTTTTTTTAGTTGGAGTCTGGCTCTGCCACCTAGGCAGAAGTGCAGTGGCGCAATCTCGTCTCATTGCAACCTCCGCCTCCCAGGTTCATGCAATTCTCTGCCTCAGCTTCCCGAGTAGCTGGGATTACAGACGCCTGCCACTACGCCCGGCTAATTTTTGTATTTTTAGTAGCAACGGGGTTTCACCATGTTGGCCAGCCTGGCCTTGAACTCCTGACCTCGTGATCCCTCCCACCTTGGCCTCCCAGAGTTTTTTTTTTTTTTTTTGAGATGGAGTCTTGCTCTGTCCCCCGGGCTGGAGCGCAGTGGCTCAATCTCGACTCACTGCAACCGCCACCTCCCAGGTTCAAGCGATTCTCCTGCCTCAGCCTCCTGAGTAGCTGGGATTAGAGGCGCCCGCCACCACACCCGGCTAATTTGTATAGGCTAGTCACTGCTTCTCTTTCCCCATTCCTGCTTCAGATGGCACATGGTTGTCGCCACCATTTAAAAATCATGTCAACATGGATTGGACTCCATTCTATACTCAGCTTGGTGCCCAAGGTTGCTGTGACCAAGTGCTACCAAAGAGAACATTCGAGGTGGCTTGGGATGACCCCAGGAGGCTTCTCTGGGAGAAGTGGGCTTACCAAGCTCTGGACAGAAGCTAGTAATTGGGACAGGCAGGGAGATGGCCTGCATAAGGGCTCAGAGGCAGGACTATGTTGAAACCACCTGGCTTGGGCAGAGAATCTGAGATGAGACCTCCTCCCCAGAAGCTCAGGATGTACTTATTAGAAGGATGGATAGGATGGTAAGACACAAAAGAGTGAGCTGATTAATTTGGATGTTGAGTTGAGGAAATGGTCTGAGCAGCCCAGAGATATGCTGAAAATGTACTTTAGAAAAATCTATCTGTACAGGATGGGTAAGGAAGGGCGAAGTGGTGATGAGAAAGCTAGGCCGAAGCCCACTACCCAACAGAGAAAGAACTTAGGGAGGCAGCCATAGAAACAGACACTGAGAAATAAAAATCACTGGATTTTAGGACTGGGCGCAGTGGCTCATGCCTGTAATCCCGGCACTTTGGGAGGCTGAGGCAGGCAGATCACCCGAGGTCAGGAGTTCGAGATCAGCCTCGGGAATATGATGAAACCCCCGTCTCTACAAAAATACAAAAAGGAGCCAGGCATGATGGTGGGTGCCTGTAATCACAGCTCCTCTGGAGGCAGGAGAATCACTTGAACTCGGGAGGTGAAAGTTGCAGTGAGCCAGGATCACGCTACCGCACTCCAACCTGGGCAACAGCAAGACTCTGTTAAAAAAAAAAAAAAAAAAAAAAAAAAAAAAAAAACCTCACTAGATTTTAGAGCCTAATTGGGTGTGAAGGTCCAAATGAGGAAAGGATCACAGATGCTGCTGATGTCTCAACCTGAGGAGATTTGATTCACTTCCCTGCCCTTTCCTGTCCATTCACTCACTGAACACTGAGCACTTACCACGCAGCAGGCCCCATGAAAGAGCCAGAGAGAAATAAGATGGGTGAGAGACAGCACCTGCCCACAAGAAGCCCATTGCTTAGTGCAAGATAAGGTGAAATCAACAGATGGCTATAAAAGGGGAGAATAATGCTAGCCCTACGCCCAGAGGCTGCAAAGCATGGAAGAGGGGCTCTACTCTGTTCTGACAAGCATTGCCATCTACGTTACCTCCCCTTCCCCACATCGGCTCCCTCTGCTAAGGCTTTAAAGAGAGGCAAATGACTCTAGAAAATCCCCACAGGGCTGGGGCAGAACTTCCAGGCCCTGTGAGGAGAGCCCTGTAGATAAGGAAGAGCTCCAAGAAGCTTGTTTCCGTCTCATGAGCATGAGGTGTGGGGATGGACCCCAGCAGTAGCAGGGTGCCACATACTCCATTAGGTCTCTTTTTAATTTCTTACCTAGCTCTCCTCCCACTACTCTGCAGGTAGTGCTGAAATCCTGGATGTTGGAGCTGGAAAAGGTAATTCAGTACGCACTCCCTTATTTTGCAGAGCAAGAAACTCCCCTGGCAGTGTTCCTCGTTCTTCATACCTCTCCACCTATTCTGCCAGCAAAATTGGGCGGGGTCATTAGAAAGCTAAGTGACAGATACACAATAATGTGCCAATGAAATCACAGAATGGTGTTAAGAGCTGGTAATGACTTAATGTGTTTTTCCTATTAGGGTCATTTATAGTTTATTACCAAAAGTTTTTTGTTTTGTTTGTTTTTGAGATGGGGGTCTCGCTCTTTTACCCAAGCTGCAATGCAGTGACATGATCACAGCTCACTGCAGCCTTGACCTCCTGGGCTCAAGTGATCCTCCCACCTCAGCCTCCTAAGTAGCTAGGACCACAGACACGTGCCACCATGCCTGGCTAATATTTTTTTATTTTTTTATTTTTTATTTATTTTTTTTTTTAGAGACGGGGTTCTCTCCGTGTTGCCCAAGCTGCTCTCAAGCTCCTGGGCTCAAGCAATTATCCTGCCTTGGCCTCCCAAAGTGCTACAATTACAGGTATGAGCTACCACACCTGGCCTCAATAACTTTTTAAAAAAAATTATTTTTATGTGTTTAGGGGTGAAATTGCAGGTTTCTTCCATGCATATATTGGGTAGTTTTACTAAAAGTTGTTAAAAGCCCTTAACAAAAAACAGATGAAGGAATGCATCTCCCCAGGTGGAGTGTATTAGGTAAGGGAAGGTCTACAACAGTCCAGATAAAAGAGCACTGTTTTTTCAGTGGTCTCACCAAAGTATCTGTTTTTAATACGCACACAGGCATTTATAGGTTAGGAGCATCTGCCTACCTCTTGCCTACAAAAGACTGCAGCCTACAAAAGACTACATTGATGTCTTTGGAAATGCAGAGATGGCATTCCTAAGGTAAGAGGTCAGCAGGAGTTGTTTTCTGAGGATGTGGTAAAGAAACTGGGCAAAACCTCTAGTTGCCTTCAGTGCTTGTTATACACTAATTATAATGCACTAGCATGCTAAAAGACATTCTAACTGGCACCATGACAGTTTACAAATGCCTTGGCAACACCCAGAAGTTACTTTATATGGTTTAAAAGGGGAGGAACCAGGCTGGGTGTGGTGGCTCATGCCTGTAATCCCAGCACCTTGAAGGGCGGGGTGGGCAGACTGGCCCACCTGCAAGCCCAGTTTGCAGGTGGGCAGATTACTTGAGCCTAGGAGTTTGAGACCAGCCTGGGCAATATGACAAAACCTTGTGTCTACTAAAAATACAAAAATTAACTGGGCATACGCCCGTAGTCCCAGCTACACAGGTGGCTGAGTTGGAAGGATCACGTGAGCCCAGGAGGCAGAGGTTGCAGTGAGCTGAGATCGTGCCACTGCACTCCATCCTGTGTGACAGAGCAAGACCTTGGCACGCTCTCTCTCTCTCTCTCTCTGTCTCTCTCTCTGTCTCTCTCTCTCTCTCTCACACACACACACACACACACACGAATTACATTGATGTAAGATGGATTAATAGGAGAAAAACAAAAAACCTCTCATCCGTTAAGAAAAAAAAAAAATTTGCCAGGCATGGTGGCTCATGCCTGTAATCCTAGCACTTTGGGAGGCCGAGGCAGGCGGATAACCTGAGGTCAGGAGTTTGAGACCAGCCTGACCAACATGGAGAAACCTCATCTCTACTAAAAATACAAAATTAGCCGGGTGTGGTGGCACATGCCTATAATCCCAGCTACTGGGGAGGCTGAGGCAGGAGAATCGCTTGAACCTGGGAGGCGGAGGTTGCAGTGAGCCGAGATAGAGCCATTGCACTCCAGCCTGGGCAATGAGAGTGAAACTCTGTCTCAAAAAAACAAAAAAATAAAAAACAAACAAACAAAAAACAGGAGGCCGGGCGCGGTGGCTCACATCTGTAATCCCAGCACTCTGGGAGGCCGAAGCGGGCAGATCATGAGGTCAGGAGATCGAGACCATCCTGGCCAACATGGTGAAACCCCATCTCTACTAAAAGTACAAAAAAAAAAAAGAAAAAAAAAATTAGCCGGGCATGGTGGCAGGCGCCTGTAGTCCCAGCTACTTAGGAGGCTGACGCAGGAGAATGGCGTGAACCCGGGAGGCAGAGCTTGCAGTAAGCCAAGATCCTGCCACTGCACTCGAGCCTGGGTGACAGAGTGAGACTCCATCTCAAAAAAAAAAAAAAATTAATTCTTAGACCAGCCACAGAACCTAGAAATGAAGAAGGAAGCAATTTTTCCTCCCGTACAAAAGAAAGGTATAAAGATTGGACAAGAAGAAGTATATTTATTTGTAAATAACATGACTACAAACTTAGAAAATATAAAATAAACCACAATTAGAATTAATAAATATATTCAGCAAAGTCATAGGCTACAAGGTCAATATACAAGCATCAATAATATTACCATATATCAATAAAAAAATTTATTTTTGAGATGGAGTTTTGCTCTTGCCACCCAGGCTGGAGTGCAATGGCACAATCTCAGCTCACTGCAACCTCCGCTCCCCAAGTTCAAGCAATTCTCCTGCCTCAGCCTCCCAAGTAGCTGGGATTACAGGCGCCCACTACCATGACCGGCTAATTTTTGTATTTTAGTAGAGACGGGGTTCCGCCATGTTGGCCAGGCTGGTCTCAAACTCCTGACTTCAGGTGATCCAGCTGCCTCGGCCTCCCAAAGTGCTGGGATTACAGGCGTGAGCCACCACGCCTGGCCTCAAAAAATTTTTTAAATGAAAAAAATTTTAATACCATGTATAATATCAAACATATAAATATCTAGGAAGAAAATATAATACCTAAAAAAAAAAAAAAACTAAGGAAAAAAGTGCCCAATCCCTATGCTAAACATTGCAAAACATTTCTGAGAGAAATGAAAGACCTAAATGAATGGAGATATTCAAACACAAAGGAGGAAAAATAAAAAGATCTACGTGGTGGTAAGGTTTCTACATTCCACTCGACATGACAAAATACTAATTCTAATTAGACTGGGAAATGTTAAGTATGTACATTGTAATCCCTAGAGCAACCACTAAAACACACATACAAAGAGATATAACTAAAAACTCTAGAGTTCAATTCAGATGGAATACTAAAAATGTTCAAATAATCTAAACCATGGCAGGAAAGAGATAATAAAGAAATAAAGACTAGAGGGAATAAACACAAAATAAATAAAAGAAAAATCTGAAAAGGAAAAATCTGAATCCAAACCTATCAGTAACTACATTCTATGTAAATACTATAAACCAGGGGTCAGTAAAGTCCAGATAGTAAATATTTTTGAACTTGTCAGTCATATGGTCTCTGTTGCAACCACCAAACTCTGCTTTTGTAGCAGAAAAGTAGCCACAGAAAATACATAGATGAGCCAGGCGTGGTGTCCGTAATCCCAGCACTTTGGGAGGCTGAGGCAGGGGGATCACTTGAGGTCAGTAGTTCACAACAAGCCTGGTCAACATGGTGAAACCCCATCTCTACTAAAAATACAAAAATTAGCCAGGCACGGTGGTGGGCACCTGTAATCCCAGCTACTTAGGAGGCTGAGGCAGGAGAATCACTTGAACCCAGGATGGGGAGGCTGTAGTGAGCCCAGATTGAGCCACTGCACTCCAGCCTGGGCAACAGAGTGAGACTCCGTCTCAAAAACAACAAAAAAAGAAAATACATAAATGAGCATGGCTGTGTTTTAATAAAACTTTATTTACAAAACAGGCAGCAGGCCAGATTTGACCTACAGTTTGCTGACCCCTGATCTAAACACACCAATTTAAAGAGATTTTCAGAATGAATTAAAAAAAAAAAAAGTACCAAATTATATGCAGTCTACAAAACAAAACAACATACACACAATCCACCTTAAATATAATTATATACAAGGAGTTTAAAAATAAAAGGATGGAAGACAGACACGGTGGCTCACGCCTGTAATCCCAGCACTTTGGGAGGCCGAGGCGGGCAGATCACGAGGTCAGGAGATGGAGACCATCCTGGCCAACATGGTGAAACCCCGTCTCTACTAAAAATACAAAAAATTAGCTGGGCAAGGTGGCGGGCGCCTGTAGTCCCAGCTACTCGGGAGGCTGAGGCAGGAGTATGGCGTGAACCTGGCAGGCGGAGCTTGCAGTGAGCCGAGATAGCGCCACTTCAGCCTGGGCTACAGAGCGAGACTCTGTCTCAAAAAAAAAAAAAAAAAAAAGAAAGAGAGGAAGTGGAGTAGCTATGTTAATATCAGACAAAGGAGACTTCAGAGCCAAAGAAATGACCAGGGACAAAGGAGACGTTATTGTTGAAAGATATTCTCCAAAAGCTCTCACATTTCTAAATGTTTTATGAGCAGAGGCAATGACTTCCTTCGATTTAGAGTATCTTTTCAAGGATGTTTATATAGGCAACAGCTCTGGAAATAGAAATAGGCCGCTCTCTGGAGCGAAGGGCGGGTTTGTTTTCTATCTAGCATAATAAAGACAACTTCTCTCTTTGTGGCAAAAGTCAGGAAGGCTCAGCCTCCGTTCTTGTTTTTTTTTTTTGTTTGTTTGTTTGTTTGTTTGTTTGAGACAGAGTCTTGCTCTGTCGCTAGGCTGGAGTACAATGGCACGATCTCAGATCACTGCAACCTCTGCCTCCCGGATTCAAGCGATTCTCCTGCCTCAGCCTCCTGAATAGCTGGGACTACAGGCATGCGCTATCACGCCTGGCTAATTTTTTGTATTTTTTTAATCGAGACGGGGTTTCACTCTATTGACCAGGCTGATCTCAAACTCCTGACTTCGTGATCCGCCCACTTCGGCCTCCCAGAGTGGTGGGATTACAGGCCTGAGCCACTGCACCGGGCCCATTCTTTTTTTTTTTTTTTTTTTTTTTTTGAGACGGAGTCTCGCTCTGTCGCCCGGGCTGGAGTGCAGTGGCCGGATCTCAGCTCACTGCAAGCTCCGCCTCCAGGGTTCACGCCATTCTCCTGCCTCAGCCTCCCGAGTAGCTGGGACTACAGGCGCCCCCCACCACACACGGCTAATTTTTTGTATTTTTAGTAGAGATGGGGTTTCACCATTCACAGGATGGTCTCG